ACATTAAGAAATAGATAAAGAAATAGATAAAGTATGAAATACTTTAAAAAACAAGTAGGTATGAATGCAGGGCTCTTACCATTGCCCTCTACAAAGACTGATCGAAGGAGAGAGAAGAGATGGAGGTCTTCATCTGGGGCGAACTCCCAGTTCCCCGATGTAATGAAATAATCGTCCCCAGCTCCCTTGTTGAAGTCAGGGAGGTCGGCAACGATTTTGTATTCAGTGGACCTCGGCTTGAGGTAGTAAACGTAGCTGGTGTCTTTTTTGAGGCCACACATAGTGTAGCAATATTGGATATCGGCTAATGTGATCCTAGCGTTTTTTTGTTTGGCTAAGGCTATGATACCATTGATGGTTCGATAGGAATTGATGGAAAGTTGCATTGGGTTCAACTTGTAATAATGAAGTATTTCACGGAAAAGAGTGTTGAGTGGGAGCCGAAGTCCACACTCAATGAAGGCTACCACAGGGAAAGGCATGGAGTCATCAGTATGCATGATGGAGTCATCATCCCCAGCCAACCTCAGATGGACGTCAGCTGGGATTTCAAACTCTTGTCTAAAGAATTCTAGTTTGGATGGGGTGCTTACCCTATGTTTCTACATACCCATGATGTTGGCTTAAATGGAGATATCGGATTTCAGGAAGAAGTATTTTTGGAAGGTTTAAAGGACCTCGGCCAAAAACCTAAAAGTACGCTTTGGTAAGGGTTTGTATGGATCTAGAGGGAGTTCATTTTAGTTTTTCCTAAATTGTGGGTTCTACAGACAAATCCCAAACCTAAGTCTATGGAAATGAAGATTGAAGGCACAAATCTGGAAAAGACACAAAAAAACAGAAAACAAGAACAAGTCTCAGAATTAAGAACAAAGATGGACTATCAAGAACATAGTGAGTACAAAGGGTATAAGGTCAAGAACAGTGGCAAAAGTGCAAGAAAGTGGTGAACAATGTGTGTGTTCAAGACATGGACAAAGAGAAAAATTATGAAATAAACATGTTCAGATACATGATTCGCAAATCAAATATTCAAGTAAAACAGCAATGACGACTAAATGATAAAACAGAATTTTATGAAACACAACAAAAATTGAAAAAACCAAGAGGAATGGTGACTTACCAGAGAAAGGAAGCTAGTGTGAGGATCGCCGAGATTAGGTGATGGTCGTGAAGGCAACGGAACAATGGAAAATTCGCCGGAAGAGATGAATGGAACAAGTTACAGAGCAAGGAGAGCTTGAACAATGGAGGATTTGGAGAGAAAAGCTAAAGAGAGAGAGAGCAACAGAGACAATGAAAAATGAAGGGGCAAAAAACGGAAACAAATTTTGTTAAAAATTGGAAACGGCGGCAAAAAGGCCATCAATGTGCCTAGGAAGACGGCTTTGTCAGACGGCGCACGCAAGCGCGAGACGGTTTTTAGACGCGTCACAGGTACCATCTAATATAGGAAAGACGCGTGTCGTAACCGGTTGAATTATTATATGACAGCTCATACGCGTGAAAGGGTTCTTGAAATTCTTGTTCTTTAGCAAAGGCATGTCGGCCAAAATAATGATCTCAGCTGAGATACTGTAAACCGACGTACTGGAAGAAAGGAATGATATAGGTTCCATCACCTCAAAATGCCGAGGTAATAGAACCTAGGGGGCAGTTGTGGGGATATATTTTTTGAGTACTAACACGTGGCTAAGGTGATGCCGACGTGTCCGCCGAGGTGCCACGTGTCCTGGTCATGACGCCTAGGTTATCTCGACAAGGTCGAGGTTACCTCCGAAGATATCGGAATCCGAGATAAACGGATAAGGCACAAGAGTCCTAGAAAAGGGGAAGACTACAGTTGGGAAATGATAAAACTCTTAGGGAGTTTATCCCAATCCTACTAGGAGTCCAAGATTGATAGTAGTCCTAAGTCCATTAGAGCCAGGCTCCTGTTGGGACAAGGATTGAGTTAGCTATAAAAGAAAGGCACTTTCGTGGGTCTATGGTACGCAATTTATATTCTGAACAGTGAGTTTAGCATTATTGATTATCTTTGAGAGATATACTGACTTGATCGTTGGAGTGCCCGCGGGGGGACAAACCACCGCCGAAATCTTCTCTTTCTGTTACAGGTCAGACAGGTGCCATCTATTCTGCTAGTGCTCTCCAGCTGAATACTGAATTGGCAGTGTGGTCGGAAAATCACTCACACACTAATAACAAACTTTTTGTACTAATCAATGGCTTGATTGAAGTTCAGCTAATCTTTTAACAAGACCAACCCATATGTCAAAGTTGTCGTTTGGTAATTGACTTTTTAAATTAGTTTTTTTTGACTATTTTAACTTGTAATTAAAAATTTGTTTAGTTTAATTTTTTTTGACTTTTTTAATTTTTGTGAGAAAAAAATAAAATAATTATAATTGTGATGTGACATTTTATCTTATTAACTTATTTAAATTATTTTATCTTTTCTATTTTTTTACCCAAAAAATCAATGCCAAAAAAAATAACATATGCCTATGTTTTTTATTTGCAAAAGTACATCCAATTGCATGTCATGTCAAAAAAAACATTTTAATTTATATATACATTTTTTGGTAAACTGAAACTTCATTGAATGTAATCTACATCTTCTATTATATTGTGATATTATTTATGAGATGCTTTTAATTGTTAGAGCAAAATCTCTGAATGATAATGTTGATGTAGACGAGAAGAACACTTGGAAAAAATTAGACATTTTATAAATTAAATTTATGCTTGTGAACTTCTTTGGGTGTTGACTTATAAGTACAATAAAACACTACTAATTGAAAATGTTGATTCTAAAGTAGCAGGTTTACATGTGTTGTCCCCAGATTGGTGTATAGGTGGACTATTTGATAATTTATTAATCACAAAATGAATTTGATGTTTTTACTGAAGAAAAAAAAACCTTTAATATTAATGCTATCATTTGATGCCAACAAATGGTTTCACATGCCTTGCAAAAATAAACAAATCACATCTGACAACGTTGCATCATAGTAATTAGTAACCTAGTTGAGATTAGGTTTGTTTGGCCGCTTCTGCACTATTAAACCATTTGTTGTAAAATTGGGCTAGTTTGAATGTACCTTTTCAATACAATAAAGTTGGTTTGTTTTAACGAAAAACCGGATTTGTCATTGCTTGTGGTGATTCTCAAAAGTAATAAGTTGGTACTAAACACTAAAAAAATAATTTAAATAATTTTTTTGACATATCGTAAACAACAATGATTCATCCCACTAAAAATATCACCACTAATAGCACTAATGCATTAAAAAAGTAAAAAAAAAAATACAACTCCAAGACCAAAACATCACATCATTAATGACGGAACCCACTGCCATTCACATGCCTTGCAAAAATAAACAAATCACATCTGACAACGTTGCATCATACTAATTAGTAACCTAGTTGAGATTAGGTTTGTTTGGCCGCTTCTGCACTATTAAACCATTTGTTGTAAAATTGGGCTAGTTTGAATGTACCTTTTCAATACAATAAAGTTGGTTTGTTTTAACGAAAAACCGGATTTGTCATTGCTTGTGGTGATTCTCAAAAGTAATAAGTTGGTAATAAACACTAAAAAAATAATTTAAATAATTTTTTTGACATATCGTAAACAATAATGATTATTCCAACTAATAATATCATCACTAATAGCACTAATGTATTAAAAAAGTAAAAAAAAAAAAATACAACTCCAAGATTAAAACATCACATCATTAATGGCGGAACCCACTGCCACCTAATTAGTGGGAGCACTAATTAGTGTTCCCAAGCATTTTTCTATCATAAAATGTGGCTTTTCACTTTTTTGTAATATATATATTTTTTAAAATAAAAAATAAAACGGCACCAAACACCTCACAATAGCAATTCTAGATAAATACATAATATTTCATAATATTATGAATTGTAGAAAATGTAGGTAAGTGGGGTATTGTTAGGGGTGTAAATCTAGTTTGGCCTGGCCCATGTCGGGTTTTGCGGGCTCGTGCCAAAATTCAGGTCAAGCCGAGCTAGTCCACGGGCCAAAAAAATTAAGATCAAGCCCAGTCCTAAGCCTAGGGGTATTCGAACCTTGGACGGTTTGGGCCTGGCTTCGGCTTGAGCAGGTCTGACTATTTTTTTTTAATTTTTTCTATCAAAATTTTATTATTTTTTACTATAAAAGACACTGGGTCTTGGGCAAATCGGGCCTTGAGTGGGCCTTAAGTGGACAATAGACTGGGCCACCGACCGGGCTTCAAAATGATAGCCCAAGCCCAGGGGTTCGGGCTGCCCAAACAGGCCTAAAGGGGCCTGGCCCATTGTGTTGGATAATTGAGAAATTTGAAAGAACAAAATAACTTATAATTGATTAGGAGTACGGACATGTGATATTCCAAAATAGTCTAAATTTTCCGCTACAGAGAGGCATAGCAATATTACTGCCTTGCAGGTTTCGTCTAAGTAAACTTGAACACAAGGGCTTGCATTAGATGGGGCTGGACTGTGAAAATGGTATCTAAGTCCACTCACGGGTTAAGTCAGTGAGCCTTGTTTGTTGGGCCAACTTATGAGCCCAAATCTTACTTAAGCCCGGTCCAATAAGCTTGACTCAGACAGGTTCGCAGGCTTGGTCAATAGGCCACCTCTCACATGCCAATGGTTAACTAAATGTGTTGAGACTCAAGCTTATATTTTTAAAATTTTTGTTTTTTGTTTTTATTTTTGAATGTAATAAAATCTTTAAGCTTAATTCAACAATACTATTTATTAGGGTATAAACCTTCTACCTTAATCACATCTTTTTTTTTTTTTAATTTTAATAATCATTTCTTTTCTTTTCTTTCCTTCACAAAAACATAAATGCAACCAATTTCTCAGCAACAAACCTTTGTAACACAACAAAACACTTGTTCTTTTTTCCTATTTAGTTTTTATGTCAGTGGGTAAAAATAAAAACAATAAATGCATACAAAATTCCTAATATTTACAAGGGAAATTTTAGAATAGTGGGATTGACCAAAAAAATTACAAAAATATGTGGGGTGCAAGTGGTTTGTGATAGGATGCAAGTGAATTTTTACGTCTCCATATTTGTGTAAATTTTTTTTTCTCCTCCCACTGAGATGTAATTCTCCCTATTTAGGAAATGAAAATCTCCTTAGCAAGCCATTGGAAGCACCTTCTCTCAAAACCTGCTGTTGCACCACTAACACAGAAGCAGTACCCCCTAAATCCATAGAAGCAACATAGTCCCCAATTACACCAAGTTCATTGTTTTGGCTCCAACTAGTCATTCCCTGCACCAGCAATGGATTAATCCCCTGTGTCCTCCCCACAATCCACATATCAAAGTACTTACTATTATTCATCCCCTGTATGGCCGCCACAGTCTCTTCCCCATTCCTCACCACCACCTCCCTATAAACCACCCTATTATTCCCCTCATTCTTCACCCAAAACGCCGTCACCAACCCGTCGTCAAGCTTCTTCTCCATCTCATCATCCCCTTCCCCGTTAAACGCAAGAAATCGAACAACTGTCAATGTCACATCCACATTCCCCGCCATCCTGTCCGCGTAGGCAATTGCCTCCCGGGCATCCGCCCCACCAAAAAAAAGCACGGCGAAATGGTGCCCTGACCGCCTCATCGAAAGGTTGACTACATGGTTCATGAAAGAACCATTGTCAACGAAAACCCCAACCGAACAAGGTGCGTGAGCGAGAACCTTGGAGTTCACAGAGTGAATCTCCCCGTCTCTCACCACCTCGGTTCGGCTATCCAAATTCCCTCTCTTGAAAGGTAATATGATGAGATTCGCTTTTTTTGTTAAAGCGAGCTCACATATGTCCTGGTACATGGTACGTGTTGGCGAGACTGACGTGAACAAGTGGAACGTGATGTATTCGCCTCGGGTTTCTTGAAACAGTGTGAGGGCGTGTTGGATGGTGCTGAAGCCGGGGTGCTCCACGGCCTGGGGTTGGTTCTCGTGGTCGATGAAGACTGGGGCGGCACGACCCACGAGGGCAATGAGGCGGAGGGCGTAGACGTGGAATGGGCTGCTGACGGTTGGGTTGGAGACTTGGAGGAGGTTGATTAAGCCTGTCACGCTCTCTTGCTCGTGAATGCAGGCTACTATGTTGAGTTCTGTGTTTGGAGGGGTGTATTGGATTGCTCTTCTTCTGTTAACCATGTATGGCCTTGTTGGGTCGTAGAGTATGCTGATCAGAGGTGTGGCTATTGCTGTCACGATTGTTGATAGTATAACCAGCATTGTGAATGTTGGAATCTCTATAATCTGTACTGCCACATTCCAATAGATATTACAGTTAAAACACTTATTGGATGATAGCAAAGCAGACTGTTTTCATAATTTCTTGGAGTATTTTTTAATGAAAAATGATATACAAATTCATTAGATTATTTTTTAGACCCAATAATGTGCAAATGATATGATTGGTTGATGATTAGAGAAGATATGAGAGAAAGTATTACCTTTAATATCTTAATTAATTGCCAGATCACTGAGGCTAAAAATTAGATCTAATTTTTTGAAACAGTTAGTCAAACAAGGTTTTTTGCATAAAAAGAAAAATATATATATATATATATTTCCCTCTCTTAGGTTAATTATACTCCTAGTTTGTAAAATTTGAATTTGGTGTAATTTTGGTTCCTACATTTTAATTTTGTCAATCTGGTGAGTGCTAAAATGATTTCCATGGCTCAGACCTTCAGTATTTATTATCAAAGAAAGAAGTATTTTTTTTAAAGAAAATCAGAAATTGGTGTACTTTTTTTTTTTTTTTGTGCTTCAAATATATCTATGATTTTGACAATAAATATTCACGACTTCAATTTTGGGGACAACTTTAGAATGGATTTTTGACAATTGATTATTTGTAATTTTTTTAGTATTTTGTTTTATTTTTAGTGATTTTTTTTTTTTAAAAAAAAAAACATTTAGGTCATATTAGACTAGATGAATCTAAAAGAATATTTTAAAATTCACTAGAAACAAAAATAAAATCTTAAAAAGTTAATTTTATCTTTCGTGAATGGATCTGAAATGTAAATTATTTTATCAAAAACAAAAAGTTTGAAAAAAAAAAATCTTTTAGTTGTAATAAAAAAAAATGAAAAAAAAGCCTTAATACTTTAGAGATGGGATTGATACAATTATAGGGCCAAAATCACTTAAAATATAGACTTCATGGGGGCAAAAATGTAATTAACTTTTGTGTAAGTGTATATTTGTTGAATTTAAAAATTAGTGGTGATTCATCCCACTAATTTTTGGACTACTAATAACTCTAATGAGCTTAAAAAAGGCGGAAATTCAAAAAAAAAAAAAAAAACTCAAGCTAAAACATCACATCATTTTGGTGGAGGCCACTATGCCACATCATTAGTGATGCTTTAAAACTCCTAATTTAATGCTCTAAAACATTATTCTTTAAAAATAGAGTGGGATTGTAAGATTACCTCCAAATCCATCCAGTGCATGAAAATCAAAAGCTCCACTTGACCTCTCAAGCTCAGTACAAGGCTAAGAGTAAGGCCATCCCTCATCGGCATTTCAAAAAATCTCGAAACCAGCAGCGTCGCAACAAATTTCGTCACGTACGCCACCAGCGCCATCCCAATCAGCGGCACCAATATAGACCACTGCCCACTCATGGACGTCACGTCCGTATACATCCCAATAAACGCAAACGAAAACGGCATAAAAACTTCCGCAATGATCGTCTCCGATCTCTCCACCAGCGTAGCCCCCAGCGGCGGCCCGTCCGGCACCGCCAGTCCCAACAACAGCGGCCCATTCGCCAGCCCCGCCCCCGTAACATCGCTAACGAATCCTATCCCCATCACAGCCAGCAAAATTGCCACTACGTATGCCTGCTCCACCGGCTTCCCCTCCGGCGTCGTCTTCACAATCCACGCCATTGCATGCCGGAAACCATGAATGAAAACTCCCACTCCGACCAGCGAAACCAGGTACCAGAGAGCGGACATCGGGTGCTCCTCCCCTTGCCGCGCTGCTTCGAAAACAATGAAGCAGTTGATTCCAATTACATCGCTGACGATTACTGTCGACAGTGCTAATCGGCCGATCTCGGAGCTGAGGAGGTTGAGCTCTTTGATGATCTGGTAGAGGACTGGGAATGACGTGATGGCGAATGCGGAGGCCACGCCACCAATAATGGGGACGCGGGAGAGTTGCTTGTCTAGGAATTTTCGAATGGCGATGGCGAGTGCGCCGACGATGATGAATGGAACGATGACTCCGAAGAGAGCTAAGGACCATTGCTTTTTACCGGTTTTTTGAATGGTTGTGAGGTCCATTTTCACGCCCGATAAGAAGAGGAAGTATACGAAGCCGATTAAACCCACATTTTTGAAGACGTAGCCTGCGTTGTCCGGGAAGATGTGTTTCGAGAAGGTCTTGTTCCGACCTAGGACGGAGGGTCCGATTATTATTCCACCCTTGAATGACATTATAATATGTTAGCATAAGATTTGCTAAAAATTTAATTTTACAAGTAACAAGTATATTTTTAATATTATATTAATTTAGTTCATATGTGAATGCCTACTTGCAAGGGTAAAATTATAAATTTGTATATTTTATACATAAATCAATTCAACTCAAAATTGTAGGGTTGGTTTGAGGTGTCCTGTGCACTTTTTGTCTTTTTACGAAAAGATGTACAGAAAAGTAGAGAGGAGCAAGGATCCTTTAGAATTTTTTTTCCCTAAAGTTTCCTAGAGTAGTGCATTATGTGATTGAGATTTAATGATAAGTCACATCAATTTTTCAGCATTAAATCTCAATCACACAATACACCATTTTAGAAAACTTTAGGGAAAAAACACTCTAGAGGATCCTTGGTGAAAGGGTATTGTAGGGTCGAAAGGTATGATTAAGAGTTTGGTTGACATCTTCTAAATAATTGTACTTATTTAGATAAATGTATTTATTTAGGTCATATTATCTCTTTATTTTTCTATATATTTTTTTATAAAAAGTTAAAAAATATACTTATTTAAATTATTTCAAATAATCTCAAAGTGGTGAGAAAAAAAATTAGAGACACAGTGCCCATAGTTGATCATGGTTGTAATGTGTGGAAGTAAGAAAACTTTAATAGATGATTATGGTATTGAAAATTGATTATGCTCATGTCGTAATTTTCATAAAAATAATTATTTTTTATTAAAATAAATTGATATAATATTTAAAATTAATAATTAAAATTGAGTCAATTATACTAATAAAAATCAAATTAATATAAGGAATGAACTAAAATGATTAATACTATAATTTGTCGAAGAAAACGTATGCTCAATAAAATCGTTCACCGAATGAAACACCAAATAACCAAAGATCTTTCTAAAACGATTATAGTAAAATTATAGAAATAAAATCTGGACACAGAGTGAGTGCGTGGGAAATCACACCCATGATGAATTTTAACCACAAATGGCACTTTCTATGTCCCTAATTGGATGTCTGAAGCATTATTGAAAAATATAAAACATTGTTTGGAAATTCTTGGATGTTCGATGAGATCATTTTTAGATTTTCATCAAGTTCATAGAATTTGAATTGAACATCTAGGCAATTCATTTCAGTTTTTGTTCTCCAATGTCGTCTTTCTTGCATTCTCCAAACAAATAAGACATGATTTTGAAATTCCTGGGTGTTAGGATGAGATCATTTGTAGATTTTCCTTCCATTTCATAATGCATATATTCAAGAGAGAAATCTCAAAAAGGAGAAGGAAAATGAAAACTTACAATGATCTCGGAGACAACTCTAGGCTGCCTGAGAGGTTTGAGCAGAAAGCGAATGGTGCGAGTGATGAGAATGATTAAAGTGACCTCTGCCAACAGAAGTGTGAAGGAGTATTCCATAGGGTTTTCTCCATAGAAAATGCCAGAGGGGTGACTCTCATGGACTGTTCGACATATAAACTCAGCATGGTTGATTGGCACGGAGTCTCCACCACGGTCTTTCACCATGGCCGCAAAGCATTTAGAGCACTCGGTTCATCTGCAACAAGCTTGTGGAAATGGAAATGGAAATGGAAAACCCTAGCCATGCATGCATGCAAAAGAAGGAAAAACCCTAACCATACGAACCCATGACAAAACACCACACAACTAAAAGAAAGAGATGCTTCAGTGAATGGACATGCGTTAAAAGAGGGCAATAGAGAAAGTTCAGTGTCTTGTTTATGGTTGTCCATTTACTTGGGACGGTTACATTTATAATTTTATCCATTTCCTATTGCTGTGGTTCGGTACCACCTGATGAGATCATATGTATATGTATACTATTTTTCCTTTTCGAATCCTTTATCATAATTTTAAAGTCCGTTTGATTAAAAAGAAATAAATGGTAAAAAATGAATATGATAGAAAGTGAAGTCGAAGAAAAGAAAACGAAAATGAAATATATTTTCTTGTATGAATTTAATTAGAATGAAAATTTTATAAGAAAATAAAATTTTTAATTATAAGTAACTGCTTTTATAACAAATTTAAAATTTCTTATATTTTTTTTAAAAATATTTTCACAAGAAGTTAGAAGCTTAATTATCATGCTATCATAAGTTGTACAACAAAATTAACTTGTAATTTTATTACTTTTATACTAAACAAACTCATAAAAAAATTATTTATTTTTTCATTTCCCTCACCTTCCCATATGAGGCCAAGGATACTCTTGTCCTTAAAGTTTCATCTCACCTTGTCCCAATTAATTTTAATCATAAGATCATGTGAAATTATAAGATTCCGAAATCTGAAGTGATTCAATAATTAGAGACGAATTGACAGAGGGGCATAGAGATTTGGAGACAACAGGATTATATGTATCCAACGAACATAATGAAATTGTTAGTTTGATATATTGTTTGGTCCATTAATTTTTTAATAACTTTAGCTTTGCTAATCACCTCAAAAAAAAAAAAAAAAAATCATCTGGAAAAAAAATTACCATCAAGAAAGAGACTTCTAAACAACGAAGTTTAAAATGACACAAAATTCATATTAATGAATTTATGAAGAAAAAATGTGATCAAAATGCAACCCTTAGACTGACAAAAAAAAAAATGCAACTCTTAGGGTGTGTTTGATTGGACAGACTGGATAAGGAGAGACTAAAATCTATTGGATTTGAGTCCTGGGATTGTAAATCTCTCGGACTATTTGGTTGGATTGGATATGTATCCTGTGTTTGTTTTTTCATGGGATTAGATGTCTGACTATTTTTAATGAATCCAACGTTTAGTTGGACGGACTGGATAAGATAAATGACCAAAAGACTATTTTACCCTTTTTCAATAGTTTATTAAATAATAGCAATATTAAACATATCTTTAATATTTTAATTATTTTTATCTAGATTAAATAAAAATTTATTTTATTTTATTTTTTACACAATTAAATAAATTTATTTTTTAAAAATAAAATAAATAAAATATCAATAAAAATATATGTTATTTTTTAATTAAAATTTTAAATAAATTTGTTTTTAAAAATAATAATAATTAAACAATGAAATTAAATAAAACATCCAAAGTTTCGAGGGATGCTTAAATTTTACTAAATATAATACATAATTAAATAGTAGAGAGTCAAAATGGTCATTTTACCACCTAATCCCAATAGTGGATTGTCCCCCCAAAATTGTCCCACCCCCCCTAGGACACAATAGTCCTCCATATGGGGGATAAGGAGTCCGGCCGGACTCCATGTCCGGCGGACTGAAAAAAAAAAACAAACGGTGGATTGGATACTCCTTCCGAATTGCAATCCGCACAGTAAATAGTCTCCCCTTTGTCCCCCAATCAAACACACCAGTTCACAATTAAAATCACAGTTTTTTTTTTTTTTTGCTGGACATAAATTCTAGGTCCAGAGTAGTTGAGCAACTCAACGGATTGCAGCCGACTAGAGCAACTACTATTTTAATATATTTAAAACTAGACCTCGTTTGAGCAGCTACTATTTTAATATTTTTTTAACTTTTTAACTAAAATATAAGAAAAAAAATTATTATATTTGAAATAATTTTTTATAAAAAGATATGCAAAAAATAGATAGAAAAGAAAATATTTGACTTTAGTTTGTTAATTTTTTAATTTTTTTTAATGACTTTTTAACTTTTAAACTAAAATTTAGGCCTGGTTTGGGAAGATTGAAAAAAGATAAAAAGTCAAAAAGTCACTATCTTATTTAAGTCACATCGTCTTATTTAAGTCACATCACTTCTCTAACACATCACTTCAAACCCAATCCAAACCCAACTCATATTTCATAAAAAGTCAAAAAGTGTACTTATTTAGTCTTCCCAAACTAGGCCTTAATATTGCCAAATGAAGTCTAAGAGGCTGTTTGGAATGTTTTACGCAAAAATTCAAAATATCCAATTATATCATTCTTTCTATTTTTTTATACGTATTTTTATCAAAAACTAAAAAATTAATTAAAACAATCACATAGCTCTAAAAAACACAAAAAATGTAAAAGTAAACCATTTTCTCTAAAATTGTCACCCTCTCTGTTTTTGAAACACCTGCTTAGGCTAGTTGGGAACTTACTAATTTTTTTTCAAAAAATCATTACAAATTGTTATTTTTTTTCTATTTTTTTACGCATCTTTTTTTTTTTATAAAAAATTAAAAAATTATTAAAAAAAATCAAATTTCAAACATCCCCTTGAATTAATTTATTTATGTATTATATATATATAAATAAAAATTGGGAGTTTTTTTGATAAATCCCCTTTTTAAGACGTTTATACCATAAAATCCAAACCATTTTTGATTATCTCATTAGATCTCATTCAGTGAAGTAAGACCAAAATACCCTCCCTTTCTCACACGCCTATTCCATTCCCAAAACAAAACTATTCCTATTCCATATCTTCCCAGATTTTACTCCACAAATCATTCAGTCCCCAAAACTATCATCGTTGCCCCCAAAAACTTCCAAACTGTAACCTTAAGTTTCACATCGCTTCACCACTGTCTTGTTGTCATCCTCCACCGCCCACCGTTGCCAACCACTATTATTCCACTTCGTCTCACTACTGCGAAGGTTTACATCGAAAGAAAGGTGGTTGGTTCTTCTGTGGTTGCCGCCGGCCGACTGTTTTTCCTCAATTTTGGGTATTTCCAGACCCCCACACACAATAAGGACCAAATGTAAGTATCATCCTTCCACCTTCTGTTTTTCACTCAATGTTAATCTAATCACTGATATATATATCTACATTGACTTATTATTGTTGTTTTTTGATTTGATTTTGTAATGAACTCTCTATTTTCACTCTTTGTCAATGTTGGTGTTGTTGATTTTTTGTTCAATAGGAATCAAATAAACTGATGTATATATTTACATTAACTTGTTATTAATATTTTTTGTGGTCGTGATTTGGTAATGAACTCCCTATTTTCCCCCTCTATCAATGTCAGTGTTGTTGATTGTTGATGGTCATTTAATAATTAGAATAGAACCCTCAATTTTCCACTATTTTCTGACTATTAAAGGTAAATTGTTTCTATAGGATGATTTAAGCCGATTTAAATATTTATATCATTTTGGCAACTGTTGTTATTGAGTGAAAATAGATGTCAACATTGACATCATGGTTAGGAACTAATGCAAACGTTTACACCCTCTGTTACTGTTGTTGATTTTATCTTGTCATGTGTTATTGTTTTGTAATACACTCCCTATCTCCCCCCTTATGTCAATGTTGAACTTGTTGGTGTTGTTTGCTATTGACGGTGATCAAATAATTACAGCCCCAATTTTGGATGGTTGCCAATCCTGTTTTAGTTCAATGTGAATTCTTATAGGCATTTTTGTAAATAATATAACATGTTATTTTTTCCCTTGCTATCGAGTAATAACCAATGTAAACATTCACATTCTGAGACTAGTCATTTTATAAATTTACATTATGGTGTTTGTTGTGTTGTTTTTCTAATTATCGACTTTATTCTCAGTTTCGTAGTCTCAAATGTTTGTGTGAATATTCACATTGTTCAATGTGTTTCTATGCATGTTGACACTATGCAAGCCAACTTGATTCTAACATAATGGTCTTGTATTGTTGTGTTAAGACTATTGAGAATAATCTATCTCATTCATCACAGCTCAAGCTCAAGTCTCAAACCACAGCTGTCTCACAGCTCAAGCCATAGTACGTGGCTTTCTCTGCTGCCTCACAGCTCAAGCCACAGTACATGGCTTCCTCTGTTAAGGCTGGTTAGACAGTTAAACTGTTAGATGAGTTGTTAGAACTCTAGTTAAAGTGTAACTATAGTTAGTCAGTTAGCTAGTTAGTTAGATTTGTATCTTTATAAATATAGTGTAAACATTTGTTGATGAATCATTGAATGAAATGAATCAAGTTCTTCTTTATGGTATCAGAGCAAGAAACTCTAACAAGTACTGATCTTCATATCTTCAAAGATCTTTTAAATATCTTCAAACGATATTTAAAGCTGACACTTCTTTCATGGCCAATCTATCATCATCGGTCTTCCACTGAAGCTGAATATAGAGCTCTTGCTCAAACTTCTGCTGAACTTAGTTGGCTTGGTATGCTTCTCAAAGATCTACATGTTCCCATGGTTCCACCTACCTTATGGTGCGACAATTTATCTGCTATTGCCTTGTCAAGCAATCATGTATTTCATGCTCATTTGAAACATATTGAAGTTGATTATCATCATGTTCGCGAGTGTGTGGTTTCCAACAAATTGATTGTCAAGCACATCTTACTTCTGATCAACTTGCAGATATTCTTATTAAACCTCTTTCTACCTCTTGATTTCAATTTCTTCAACACAATATTCTGGCTTATTCTTCCCCTATCAGCTTGACGGAGGATGTTAAGACTATTGAGAATAATCCAGCTCATTCATCACAGCTTAAGCTCAAGTTTCAAACCACAGCTGCCTCACAGCTCAAGCCACAGTACATGGCTTCCTCTGCTAAGGCTAGTTAGACAGTTAGACAGTTAGATGAGTTGTTAGAACTCTAGTTAAAGTGTAACTATCGTTAGTCAGTTAGTTAGTTAAAGTGTAACTATAGTTAGTCAGTTAGCTCGTTAGTTAGATTTGTATCTTTATAAATACAGTGTAAACATCTGTTGATGAATCATTGAATGAAATGATTCAAGTTCTTCTTTATGTTGTAATTATGGCTCAAT